CGAGGAATCAGCACTCCATTTGTTTCGTAACCTTCCAAGTTCATTGTGGTTTGCTTTTCAGTGCAGTAATTGGCGGAGCACGACCGCCTTATTCACTGCTGAGGATGTAATCGTGTGTGCATGCATATTTCATCGTTATTTATTATATATCCATAATATCCGGATAAGTCTTGCCAACACAAACTATACATAAATGTAACCGTGGTAAATGAACCGTTCGGTGCAGCATTTCCACGTGGCTGAGCCAACTGTTGCAATTTATTTCGTCACAAAATATCACGATATTGTAATACCATGCATTTAACTATCCTAACATAACGTAATATTATGTTAAGTTGTTGTTGTATTCATAAATTAGTGTGTTTGTATATCAGATTTAACTTAAACCTATTGCGATGCATCATAAACAAACATAAATAAATTCTTGTTGGCAGATGATGTGTATTTGAAAATCACGAAAAATATTTTATTTCGTATAATCCGTCATGAAATTTATTCTTCTGTTGCCCGTTGAATTATCAGGTGATGCGTATATTAAAAATAATTCATTGTTTCTCGATTGCCAGAACTTTTGAAGGGTGTTGTGTTTTTCAACAAAAAATGTGCGGTTCTATCTGAAATTGTTGTTTTTTTTTGAGCAATTCTCGTTTGAATATTGTTCATTTTGAAGCTACTTGATATTCATCTGATAATGAGTTTACTTATTGTATTTCCGAGTTGATGCTTTTACATTGATTGATGTGAACTTTCCGTGGATGGAAATTTTTTCCGTTCTTCCGTTACGCTTATGAAGTCACTATTGAATAACTGTAATCGAATTTGATGACTTCTGAATGATCGATTTTTCAGAATTTGAGGTATTGTTCGGTGGTGTTTGAGTGGTTGAAGGGAAGCGACGTGGTCTTATTATTATTATTGATGTTTGTGAGCGGTTCATAGTAACGTTATTTTGGTTGGTTTATGCGAAATGTTCACAGCAATTCGACGGAGTATTTTGGCTGCTGTGAATAGCAGCAATTGGCGCTGCAGTCAACGATGCGGTGAGCTGATGGACGATTTAAGAAAACGATTACGACAGTTACCATTCTCAAGACGGATCGCATTTCTTGTCCTGCTGATTTTACTTCTATTCTATATGCTAATGGCATTTTTTAACACCTCAACAAAGCCATCATTTTCGAACGGATGTGTGGAAGATCGATTGAGATCGTGGCGAGATTTAGAAGATTATTCGGCTGAAGCATCTGTATCAACAACCCAAAACAAAAATGTCATCTTGTTAGGAAATGGGTTTGTTTTTTATTTTGTTTCATTTTGTTCCGTTTTTTGTTTTTTGTTTTCAATTTTGAGACTCAAATGATTGTGTGATGATCTTCTTTATCATTGATTCTTTCAAATGCTCGCTGATGGAATTTATATGGTTTTGTGCTATATGTAAACAACAACGAATCTGCGAGCAGTTTTAAAATGCAGTTAAAATTTTGATAGCTGGAGATGATTATTATGTAGTGGTCGTAGAGTAGCGTAGTGCAGACATTTCGATGTTGTTTATGCAAGCAACTCATTTATCAGAGACATGTTAAGACCCGAGCCGTTTTCGACGTTTCTGAGAACTTACACTGGTATCCGATATGATTTTCAATTAGTATGAGAATTGGGCGTTCTGAAGGAGCAAAACTGTTCGTTCGTCAGCTTCTGTAGGGTGTCTCTACAAAGTGGTAGCTGAATAAACCGCAACGGTCTTAGAATGAGCCACATTCTAAACCCGCAAATATCCACTGGAATTGTACCCGAATATTTGAGCAACTTCAGCTTCATCGGATTGGGTGGTGATGGTGAACTGCGGATTCGAACGAATACCTCGCGTGTTTTATCCATTCCGACAGCATTTTATCCGTTGGTCGATGCACACCTCTCCTCATCGTCGTCGTATCCGTCTCGATCGACTGCCTCGGTTTTCGACTACCGTAATGCTCAATTGAAACGATTCGAATGCTATTCTGTGGTTAGTAATGACCTTTAATTTCTTTTTGAGAATTACATTTTGATAGATTACTATCTAGATCATATACGATTTAGTTTTGTTTGAATTGATCAGAAGACGATATTGTAGAATGCAGACGAGTGTGCATGTATTACAACGACCGTCTATGTGCATCGAACACGACCACATTTGTTGGTTCAAGACGTGCAGATAACGAATCCCACCGATGAATCCTTCAAAGTGGCGTTCTCGAGGCAACGCGAACCGAAAGACTGGAATGCTGGTGAGAAAGTTGGTGAGACACACACGTGGTGGCGATTGGCCGATTCGAACGGTGACAGTCTGCTGCTGGCGGCCGTGTGCTCGATAGTGCCCGATGGTGAGACGCTGGAGAGGAAACGTGAGGAGAACACCCGCTTTACGTGCTTGTTCAATTATGAATACATCGAAAAGGAGAAGGTCGCGAACAAAGACCAAAAGCAACAAGAGATCAGTCATCAGATTGTCAAGGTTCATTCCACTATTTGATTTGTCTGTTTTGTTCACTTAATCGAACTCTCCTTCTGTTTATTCATTCACGAGTGTTCGAGTGGGATTGGTTTGAATGAGCCGAAACTGAATCCGAAATACTTTCGTGTATTGGACAAATAATTTTTTGAATTAATTGAGAGTTTCATAGTTGAAGCATTAGATGAGATGGACAAGTTGGTTGAGTTGTGTAATTCACTGATATTTGTTGATTGAAGGAGTTTGCCGATACAATGCATGTGAAAGCTGCCGAACTGGATGAAGAGCATACAAGTGCATGGCACACGGTATGAGGCGCTCGCTTATTTTGTTAACATTTTATCCAGCATTCAAACTTTTTTGTTCTAAAACTATTCATT